TCTGGATGGAGGAGATGAAGAGGGACTCAATGATGGAGGAGTAGTGGTGCACCATCATTGTCCTTGGCAGGTTGAATTTCTTCAGCTCCTACAGGAAATACATCCTTCGCTGGGCTTTCTTGGTGAGGGAGTTGATGTTCAGCTCCCACTTTAATTCAGGAAGAAGTAAATTGTGGAGTCACAGAGGGTGATGGGGATAGCTGGGGCTGAATTATTAGGCCACAACTATGTCCACTCTTATTAGAGCGTTGAGCTCCAGGTTGTTCTCCCTGCACCAGGTCACCAGATGGTCAACCTCCCACCTGTAGGCGGACTCGTCACCATCAGAGAGTGGTGCCATCCACAAACTGCAGAAGCTTGACAGACTGATGACTGGAGGTCAAGATGAACCTTTGAAAACTGCGACATAAATAACGTTGCGGCCACTTCCTCCATCCATTAGAGCACAGGTGTCAAAGTAGTTCCAGAAAAGGGCCATGTGTCTGCAGGTTTTCTTTCCAACCAAACAACAGCACACCAGACTCCATTCATATCATCAAGTCATCATGTTTAGATTGGACTCCTTTGAAAAGATGACTGGAGTCTGGTGTGCTATTGCTTGGTTGGAAAGAAAACCTGCAGCCACACAGCCCTTTCTGGAACCACTTTGACACCCCTGCATTAGTCATGGTCAATGGTCATGTAGCTAGGGGCCTCCCAATAGAAAAAAAGAGAGGGCTCAGTGAGTGTGCTTCTTAGTGGTAGAAGATTGGTACTGAACACATCTCTGTCCGTTCTCCTCTTGAGTAAAAATAATCAAACATCTGTTATCTCTTCTTCCCTTGGTTATTTGATAAGCATATGGGTGTCTAAACCTAACGGTATAACTAAAAAAAACAAACATTGGTTGTCCCGTTTGCAAATCACCTAACGCCAATTATGGGGAAAAATAAATAAAATATATAAACTGCACTGTTGGGTGAGTCAACAAGTGAAGGTTCTTGGGAAGTGGTGGCATCTGTTATAACACTGAAAACGCCCAACATTAATCCAGATCAATTCAGAGTTGAGGATTTGAGTTGGAGTTTGCTAAACCTGCTATGTTAAACGGGCCTCAGGCTAAGAGAAAAGATTTTCTTTTTTCTTTCAAAGCTAACACAATGTTTCTGTTCTTTAGGGCTCAATAAGTGTTTTATAACAATTTTTTTTTTTAAGGGAAAAGATTAAGGAGTGTATGATCAGCCAGAATTTCTTATTTTGCAACTACTTTTTTATATTTTTGTTCATTTTAGTCTTTATAATACCAGCATTTCCACATAGCTCTATCTTTTTGTCCCATCAGATTATTTTGTAAAAGATAATTCTTCTGCTTTAAATGGTTTCTTAGTACTTGAGTAGCCTTTGTACGTTTTATACTATTAATTGTAACATAACGTTTTCTACTATTAATTGAGCAATTAATTGATTGGCTTTTATGTTTACTTTGGGACAAATATGATCATTTTGGTATTGTTACATTTATTTTTGTACCACCTTGACTTCCTCTGGTGGAGGGTCATTAGAATGACTATGGTACTTATAGTGTCTTGCTTTGTGTTCTTGCAACTTAGACTTAGACAGATTTATTCTGTCATTTTGTATACACGATTGTAAACAAAAAAGAAATTTTGTTTAGAACAGCTCTAGACAATTTCATATTTTAAAGTGCAGCCTTGAAAACAGTAATAAACACAAAATAGTAATACAGACATATGACTGTTTATTTACAGTTCTAACATTCTTTTTTTTTTAAATAAATAAATAAAAAAACCAATTTTACACAACACTCAGCAGTCTAATGGCAGTGGGGAAGAAACTGTTATGGAATCTGCTGGACCTGCATCGAATGCTTGGAAGCCTCTTCCATGAGGGCAGCAGGGAGAACAGTCCATGGTGGGGGTGTGAGGGGTCATTGATGATGTCACGGGCTCGGGAAACGCAGCGCTGGGATGAAATGTATTTTATGGAGGGAAGAGGAGCCCCGATTATCTTCTCTGCTGTTCTCACTACTCTTCTCACCTTCTTCCAGTCTGAGGCGCTGCAGCCTCCACACCACAGTGAGACAGCTGATCAGAACACTCTCTATGGTGCTTCTGTAGAAGGTGGGGAGGATGGGTGGGGACAGGTGGGCTCTCCTCATCCTCCGCAGGAAGTAGAAGTGCTTCTGTGCCCTTTTGATCAGTGAGGTGGTGTTTACATTCCACGTGAGGGTGTCTGTGATGTGCACCCCCACAAAATTGGTGCTTTTGACCACCTCTACAGCTGAGCTGTTGATGACCAGTGGAGTGTGGTTAGGCCGGTTCTGTTATCTTTGCATCAGTCCACCAGCTGCTCCACCTCCACTCTGTAGTCCAGGTCGCTGTCATCTCTGCTGAGGCCCACCACCGTGGTGTCGTCGGCAAACTTCATGATGTGATTGGTGGTGAACCTGGGGACGCAGTCATGTGTCATCAGGGTGAACAGCAGGACGCAGCCCTGAAGGGAGCCTGGACTTAGGGTGATGACATCAGAGGTGTTATGTCCGACCCGGACTGACTGAGGACTGTTGGTGAAAAAGTCTAGCAGCCAATTGTGGAGGGGTGTATTGAAGTCCAGCTGTTTCAGTTTTCCCATCAGATGCTTTGGGATGATGGTGTTGAAAGCTGAACACAGAAAACAATAACATGCTAAAAGGCACGCAGCTGTTCATTAGTTTGTCTGTGCTCAGCATTGTCATGGCATGGTGTTATGCAGCCTGAGACACAGCTGGGTTTTGATAGATGATGCACACCTCAATGACACAGGCTGCTTTGCAGCACAGGCGCAGCAGAAGCGGAGAAGAAACAGCACGCAGAGTTGCAGCACCTACATCCACGCGGTTTGGCGAGTGCCTTCAGATGGCACTCCTCACACTGAGGTCAGAGTTTGTAAAGAAAATGATATTTGGGATGGTTATGCTCTTTTATCTGTAAAAATAGTATTGAAGGGATTTGCTTTAAAACATAAAATAAATATTTTGTTTTTAAAAAAGCAACACAGTTTATATAGTGCCAATTAAGATCAACTGAAGAAAAAGAAGAAAAAAAATTCCAATCATGCAGATTTTAATTCCAAACTGTTCATATCAGTGCAGTCAAGTTCAGCTTTATATAAAAATCAGATTCAGTCTTCTAAGAAAACCCAGCAAATTCGATCCAAGTCCTCCCCTGCTACCTTTGTGAGCTCCACAGAGGACGCCATCAACTCAGCTCTGCACCCAGCCATCACTCACCTGGAGAAAAAAGACTCATATGTGAGAATGCTGTTCATTGACTTCAGCTCAGCATTCAATACAATCATACCCCAACAGCTGATATGCAAACCTCAGCACCTCCCTCTGTAACTGGCTGCTGGACTTCCTGTGCCAGAGACCGCAAGCAGTGCGCGTCGGCAACAACACCTCGGCCACTATCACGCTGAGCACAGGAGCTCCACAAGGGTGCGTGCTAAGCCCTCTGCTCTTCACCCTACTCACACACGACTGCAAAACAACCCACAGCACCAACCACCTGGTGAAGTTTGCAGACGACACAACCCTGGTGGGACTCATCTCCAACGGTGACGAGACACACTACAGGACAGAGGTGGACCACCTAGCCAAGTGGTGCAGTGACAACAACCTCCTACTGAATGTCAGCAACACAAAGGAGATTGTTGTCAACTTCCAGAAAGGTCCCCGCCAACTCCTGCCACTGACCATCGATGGCGCTGCAGTGGAGAGGGTGAGCAGCACTAAATTCCTTGGAGTGCACATCAGCGACGACCTCTCCTGGACCACCAACACTGCATCACTGGTCTAGAAAGCCCAACAACGCCTCTACTTCCTGCGGAAGCTGAATCATGCCAGTGCCCCACCAGCCATCATGACCTCCTATCACAGAGGAACCACTGAAAGCATCATCACCAGCTGTATCACTGGACTGACTACAATAGGAAAGCCCTGCAACGTATAGTGAACACAGCTGGGAGGATCATCAAGGCACCTCTCCCCTCCCTGCAAGGCATCTACTCCAGCCGCCTCACCCGCAAAGCCCTCACAATTTTGAAGGATGACACCCACCCAGCACACACCCTGATCTGTCTCCTGCCCTCCGGAAAGAGGTACGGGAGCCTACGGTCAAGAACCACCAGGCAATCAGAATGCTGAACTCCCTCCACGGTCTGCTCCAGCCACCAGGCAGACAGGAAGTTAAGACTCCCCCCCCCTCTCTCTCACACACACACATACACTGTACCAAGGACTGCACCTTACCTGCACTACCTCAGCCTGGAATACACATTGCTGCTTTTATTGTAATGTCTATACTCTATATCTATCTTATCTTCTTTTACATGTTCAATGTTAAATATTGAATGTTAAATGTCATATGTTCTTTGTACTGTATTTATTATTGACCACTTATTGATACCAGTCTATCACTGTTACCTGTCATGTCCCACACTTTATGTCAGTCTGTAAAATGTCAGTCTTGTATATGTCTTGTCCTGGCATGGTATAGAGAGAAAACGTCATTTAATTTCCGTTGTATGTCTTGTGCATATGAAGACAGTGACAATAAAAGCTGACTTGAACCATTCTGTTGCCTCAACTGTTGCTCCTCTACCTTCCTGCTGCCTCAGCTGTTCTTCATTTTTGCTTGATAGCTGCTACCTACAATTATTTTTTTCGACCTCTTTACAGTATATGCTCTGGATTTAACTATTCACCATTGGATTCTTCCTTTGCTCTTCCTGTTGCTTTAGTTTGACCAGACCCCCTGTCCGTAATCCATGTTTCATTTCTATAATACTACAAATCTGGCCTAGCATGACATAGATTTATTTGCTCAACAGGGGTAATTTAGATTAATTCAGACTTTGAAATGTTTATGTTATTTAACCATATCCAGTATCTCCACAGAGAAATGGGACTTATAAATAATAATAATAAAAATCACAGGAAAACAAGCTTTAATAAAACCTTTTATTACACTTTTCAAAGTCTGGTTGCCAGACAAAACTTAAAAAAAAGTCAAACTGTTTCTACCACACAAGTATACATATTTGTGCAATCGAGTTTAGATGAATAATCCGGTCACCGGTCATCAACAAAAGGAAAAACAAAACAAGAACAGTCTTGGTCTAACTTACAGGAGTGAAAAAACATAAATATCTGACCTGGTAGAGGGGCAAAAATAATGGGTCATTTACACAACAGCTTAGGTCACAAAAGAATACATCACGTACAGGAAACCAGACAAAGCCAGGACTTTGCTGGTTTATTTACCAAGTCCAGGTTTTAGCGTAGACATATTTACAGATAGTGTATCTGTTCAGCATACAATATTTGAGATTTTAAAATGTAACGGAGAAAAAATACAAATAAAATAAGTCAAAAGTAAAGGATATTTCAGAATTGGGAAAAAGAACTGTCTTTATTTTGTAACGTTTTAGCTTGAGCTGGAACTGATAACATTTGTGCATTGAGGTTCACAGAAAGAACCAAAGCGGCCGTAAATGTCTTTGGCTCGAACAGCGAAATAGTACGTGGATCCGGACTGGAACTGGGTCAGCGTGCAGGCCATGGGCAGAGGAAGGGCGTTCACTTCTCCTATTTTTTTCCAGTGCTGCTGCGCCGTACCGCTGCTAGAGTTGTCTTGATGGAAGGCATAGAGGTGATAGCTGTCCACAGTGGCGCAGCTTCGATCGGTTTCCGCCACGCTCCAGGACAGCACGATGCCGGACTGACCGGGCACCAGCTTCAGCTGGAGCTGCTGGGGGGGTGAGGTCTGCTCCGCCTCCGGGGGCAAACGCTGCGGCACAGGAGCGATGGGGAGAGGGGGGAGCGCTGTGCTGGAGCTGCGGGAAGGTGTAGTAGTGGTTACAGTGCGGGGCTTCGATGATGATTCCTGCAAAAGAAAGCAACGCTATGATTGGTTGGAACATACAAGGGAAAGCAGTTTCTTTCATGCTAGTAAAAAAAATAAAAGTGAACTAAAGCATTTCTAATGGATCAAACTATTATACATAATAACTATCTTCATTTGTATTAAAGGCAGCTGTTAATGCAGTGTCTTATATTCACCTGTGGGGGGCGGTGATGCACTGTTATCTGTGGATTGCTTGCAGAGTTCTGATTGGCTTTTGGGGATGATCTGGTTCCTGCGGCTGTGAAAGTAAAAAAAACATGTTATAATCATGGCATGAGTTGGATACGACACAAAGCTTCAACAAGGAATCATATTCTAAATGTTCGAATCAGCACATCTTTAACTATTAATATAAAGCACCGCTGTAGTTACTGGCACACCTGGTAAAGAAGTGGTACTGCAGCAGCATAATCTAAGACTAAAAGCCCAAAATAATAATTTGAGGAATTTTATTCACAAGAATTAAAACGTTTTTTAAAACAAACAGTTTTTAACATAATGATATATATAGCAAAGCATGCCCATTCTTTTTTTTTTTTAAGATTTATTTTTGGCATACTCCTCCATGTGAGGTCCACGCGCACATTTTCCACCCAACCCTGAAAATTAGTAACTAAGGGACAGCTTTGCACGGAAAAAAATGATGAGGAACAACTCCTACAGGTGAGCGACATCTTGTTAATTTAGTCCATCATGTCACCACAAACAACAACAGATTGCAAAAAACTCTTGTAAAGAAATATCTGTAACACTTTAATGATATGAAGAAGCTATGAAGCCCCCCTGGGGTTGGCCAGAATATTAGATAGAGGGGGACAAGCTGCACTCATTTTGTCTCATTCCCGTGCGGAACGTACATGCATCAAGCCTATCTGAGCCTTAAGGCCTCCCTACATGTACCACCTGTTCAAACTCAGCTCTACTGCGCAGCCAGAGCATGCTCATTCTAAAGCACGGTGGAGGACATACAATGATGTGGGAAACCTTGTGAGAGTCCATTTCAATGTCAAATGCCAGCGGAGTGCTGCCAACATTTTTTCTTTTTTTTTTAAAAAACAGACAAATGATTTCTGTCTTTTAGCAGAATAACACTATCAAAGCAGAACTAGAACCAAACATGGAAAAGCAGCATTTAGTTCCTATGCTCAGCTTATCTGGAACAAACATCCAGAAGACTGTAAAAGTCCTGAAAGCCCAATTTCTTTCAAGCCAAAGTTAAAACTGTTAGCTGAGGTTTCATTAGTTTAGGTCTGTGGTCAAACTGTTATTATTTGTTTTATCAACTGCTGTTATGCTTTTATCTCTACTTCCATATATTCCACTTTCATTTTTCTGTTTAAGCACTTTGAATTTAATGGTATTATACAGATAAACACACCTTGCCTTGTATATATGGGTGAATGAAAAGCAAACCAAAGACTGCTTGCTTCCAAATAAATAATTTTAACTATTTCATTACTAGTATTGTTCTCAAACCTAAAACAGAGACAACCTTTTAGTTTTAGCCAAGAGCAGAAAGCAACAGATCTGTAAAGGACACTTCCTCTCTCAGAGCACCACTTAATTTATGTAAACTGTATGAAGTTTAACCAGAGAAGCAGACGATAATGTAAAAAAAACGCTTTGACGACACAGTAAACATACTCAGATTAACGGTCGGATATCTCTTAGATGTTGTGAAAGAAGGATGGATTTGATTTAAAGTTTTTTGTTCAGTTTTTTTGTGGTAAGAATCAAAGAGGTCAGCTCTGAACACAGAGGCAAATAGAGAATCATTCACTGAAGCTGATTATAATTTGTTGTTCTTACTGCTGGGAATGCTGATGACTTGGTTGGATCGGGGGGCAGCTGAGGGGGTCGCACCGCTGGCGTTCTTCACTCCCGTCACTGAACAACACAGGAATCAGGAGAGCTATTAAAGGACGCTCTGGATGCATCACGGAGAACACAAAACCCAGGATTCTGAAGGAGTTTTAAGCAAAGAAGACTGCAAATCTCCTTTGTACCTTGAACGTCGTCGTCGTCCTCCGTGAGGTCGATGACCGAACCTTTGGGCCGTGATGGAGGTGGAGGTGCAGCCGCTTTAGATGGAGTGGCTGCAGAGGCCTGGTTGTCTAAGAAGCAAAGGACAAGGTTAGCAACGGTGTTTTAACGGGAGAAGAAGAGAGCATTGTCTCACTAATCTCACTATTTCCTCACCAGTCTTGGATGTAAGAGATGTGCCTTGTGGCGTTCCTGGTGCGGTAGAACCCGTCGCTGCAGGTCCTGAAGTTGCAGGTGAGGAGGCTGAAGAGACAGCGCCAGCCACAGACACAGACTGAGCTGGAGCTCTAACTGTGGTCACAGATACCCCGGCGTTGGGCGTTGTTATTCTTCCCGCGCCGCCTTGGTAAACGGCTCTGGCCAGAGAGATCTGCGTTGGGGCTACCTGACCGGAGGACGCCTGCAGAGTGGGGAGGGTAGCGGCGGTGGAGGTGGGGGCTGGTGCTGTGTTGGCTGCAGGAGAAGGCTTGAGGATGAAGGTGGTGGTGGTGGGAGTGGTTTTGGCCTTGTTCAGAGAGGTGGCCGCTGCCAAAGAGGAGACGGGGAAGTTGACGAGCGTTCCCGTTTGGCCGTTCATCGACAGAGGCAGCTGGATGACGAGCGGCTGGCCCGCGGCCACCATGCCGCTCCCGGGCGTTGTTTTCAGCACCAGTGTGCCCGTTTGGCTCTGGGTGGTGATGGCAGTGGCCAAAGTGGAGGCGGCGTTAGAGCTGGAGGTGATCAGCTGCAGGATGGAGCCCTGTGGGACTATGGTGGTGGCGGAGGTGGAAGATGGGGCAGAGGAAGAAGCTGGGGACGCAGTCGAGGCTGGTACAGGAGCTGCAACTGGAACTACTGGGATGAAAAATAAGAAGATCGTCAACATCAGTTAGAAAGAATCTTTCATCAGATTATTCTGTTCATGAGCAAAGACAGAACTAAAAACCTTTAGTCATTTCCTATAAACGTTTCCACATTTTGTCACCTGAACAACCACAAGCATGAATGTTTAAAAGGCCAGGAAAGAACAGAGTTATAAAGCTTTAAATGTCTTTCTGTATTGTTTATACTGAACCCCTTTTTCCACAGATCGGGTTATTTCTGGTCTAGTGGATTTTCAGAACATCCCATCATAATGTGGCCAAAGCACAGCAAGCTGCACTGATCAGGTGAGGCTCATGTCCTCCCAGTGACATTAAAGCACCATAGTGATGGGAGCTAACAAGGTGCACCATGGCTGCTGATTGTTCTAATTAGACCATTTTGAGCATTTTCTTCGTCTCGGGTATCTAACCTACCAAGTCCTTTAGTTAATGCTACAATCTTATCCTCAGTGAACTGCACTGCAATGGGATGTGACCATTTCACATCACTGCTGACCTACCCATCCATCTAAAATGACAAGTAATGCTACAACAGGATTCATCAGAGGCATGTAAAAAGGGTGAGGGTAACTCTAGGGGAGCTAAGAAGACCTGCAGCTCAGGTGCAATGTGGCAAGTTTAGCTAAAACTTAGAAGGAAAGCCATTAATCCACCCAGTCTGCAGCGTTTCACTAACTGCTCTGGTCAGATGACCACAGTCGGCCATCATCCCAAACAAAAACAGGTGAATCCTTTAACTTTGTGGCTATGACTCAACAAAACGATAAAAAGGTTAAGTTAAACAATATTGAGAGGGCACTCTAGGGAATGCTGCTACTTACCAGCTGTGCTGGAGGAGGCAACAGTTGCTGGCGTCTGCTTTACTTCAACAGAGGTCCGGACCGGCCTGTTCAGAAAGATTGCTTATGCTTAGGGTTACTGAAGCCATGTAGGTCCATGACAGGATGATTGGGGTGGGGGGGGACATATAAAAAACATCTTGCAGACTCCAGCTCACAGTCAAAGTTCAGGTTTAACTCTACATCAGTTTTTTTTCTTTTTTTGTTGTTTAAAAGCCAGCAGAAGTCTTTGTAAACATGTTAGTGGTTTCTCTAAATAAAGGACTTGATAAACTCTAAGCGGTCACTTCAGGGATATCTCGGCGTCAAAAGAACAAGGTGCGGCTCTCGTCGTATTCTCGAAAAAAATCCGGTCTCCTCTTCACTCGGAGGATTTCGTTGATGGCGTCACGGATCTCTCTCCATCTGTCGGTGGACAGGAACGGAAAGCGACGGTCGATGTACATCTTTATTGTCTGCCTCAAGTTTCTGGGCAGCGCCTCCTTCCCCATCAGACCCACATAATTGACCTTTGTGACCCACTCGCAGTAGACGTCATAAGGGACCAAGTAGCGGAATATGTAGGACGCGTAGCGATCAGCCCTGGGATTCCCTGAGCTTCTCTGGCAGTTGTGATAAAGCACTTTCTCCAGCTGAGATGAAATAGTGCGGAGCTTCACATCCGCTCTGCATCTCCCTTCACTGTATTCTGCCAGCTTTCTTGCCATGGCCGTATGGCGTGCTATGTCCGACTCCTTCTCCTCCCCAGTTTCCAGCTCTTCGTCCTCCTCCTTCTTGACAGGCAGTGCAGGAGTCTTGCCAAGAGAGGGCGCCCCTCCCTCTATGGGCACCTCAGGTTGCGGCTCTACTTTCTGCCAACGGAGCACGCTGTTGGGAGGAGAGGTGCAGTTTTAACTACACTCTGCACTGCCTGAAGAAACGCTCAGGTTATCACATTGTAGAACGTCACAAGACCCAGGACATGGTGCAGGTACAAAACACCGGGGCATTGGGGGGATGTTATTCCTAGCAAGTATTAGGAAGTGTTCAAAACTGATCCTGACAGGATAGGAGGATCAGATTTTTCAGTCCGTTAGGTTTAGGTTCACTTTGAATGGTTGTGGTTAGCAAGCCGGGACAATGTCATCTGATGGCGCTTGCACGGTCTCCTGTGTCGTACTGGCTTCAGTCCGGTATTGTCACGTTCTTACAAGAGCCCAAATCATAGTCACATTAATGATCACAGACTGCTTAAACGTACAAATACACAGCTGCTGTAGAAACATTCAGTCACATGATGAACAAGGTCAGTCTGCAGAAAATTTATCCTTTATAAAGCTGAGGAAAATCATTAGTTCATAACTGAAAAAAAAAAAAATGGACAGAACCTGAGCAGGAAATATCACTTGGTCTGAAGGTACTTACCGCTGAGTTTGGGAGTTTGCAACGGTTGCAGTCTTGGCAGCGGCAGAAGCACTGGCAGCGGCGGCGGCCACGGCGAGCGCCTGTGGAAATGAGACAAACAGTCAGCTCTGAGGTCACACCTGGACATTGATCATAAAATCTGTGTGGATCTAGAATATTCCTAAATTGAAGTAAAAATGTAAGAAAAAAAACTTCCAAGAAATACAGACAAAGAAGGTTTAACAATTTCACAATGAATGAACTTTGCAACCCAATAAAATATTCAGCTTTCCCTCAACCAGATGGTGTGCAAGATCCTGAAGCACAGATGTTGCAGTTTTCCATCATGGTGATTCGATTCAGTATCAATTTCCTGACCCAACCATTCGATTATTCTCGATACTCAAGAAAACACCACGATACGATTTAATTCCATTAATTGGTTCTTTTTTCTTTTTTTTTTACTTACAGGCGAGACAATGTTTCAAATTTGAAATAAATCAATGGAAGCTGTAATATCGTTATGCATTTTATTTGAGACACAATAGCAAATTACAGAAGTAGCAATGTTATGTTCCACATATGCCTATGAAAACCTCATTCACTGAAAAATAACAATGCCTCTGTGTTTACGCGAGTCTGTGTGCAGGCGGAAAGAGGGTAGGTTCTAAAGGAAGCGAGGAAGGAGGGCAAAATAGGTTTAGCGCCACCGCAGCACGGGAGTCAGAATTACATCCAGGAGCAAATGGATAAAAAAAAATAATAAATAAATCAATACTTTTGCGGATGTGTCGATGCATACGATTTACGGCTGTTGGATCGATGCATCGATACAAAACGATAATTATTTACACCCCTATATAATATCCAGCCCTACTTTGACCACTCAAAGGCCCAATGGTTTATTCCAGCCCCTACATCAAACACATCCCCAGTTTAAAGGCCTGATCTGATAATCTCTACTTACCTCCTGTTTTCTTTTGTTTTCTGACATCTGATTAGCCTCTCCAAACTTTTTGGCCATCCGAGCAATCTTGCTCTGAAAAAAAGAAAGAAAGAAATGCTCAGATTCCTATAACTGTGTAACAACGTAAATTTTCGACAACAGGAAAAGTCTGTTTACTAACTTGGAGTGAGTGTATTGCAGTTTGGTGTTTGGTGGCACACTCAATTTTGTCAACTCTGTTCTTTAACTCTTGGAAATTTTTGTTAAAGTTTGTCAGCTCCAAGATCTTCAGATGCTCATTCACAAGTTGCTGGACGATCTAAGGGATATCAACGAAAGGAACAGCATTTCACAAACATTATATAAATATATATCTTTTTTTTTTTTTTTGATATTATAGCTGAATACAAACCTTTTCCAGTTTTTCCTGACTGCCAGCCTTCGCTGTGATTTTCAGCTCCAGTTGGGCCTCCAGCTCCTCATGCTCCACCTTGGGCCTCTTACCCTCTCTTTTCACAGATGGTGCATCATTTTCGTTTCCTTCTGATAAAGTGCGTTTCAGCCCTGATGCTGAACTCTTCTGCCCTTGATCTAAGAGTGAGAAAAAGAGACAAACTGGTAACTAACCTGCTTTGCTCAGGTATTTATCTACATCCTAAATGTAAACATATATGCTTTGTTCAGATGAGACCAAAAAAAAAAAAAAAAGCCACCTTTTTGGCAGCAATCTAACTCTACATCATCCTGATCAAACCATGCCCAGAGTGACACATAGGGGTTGCAGCATCATGCTGTGGGGAGGTTTTGCTTCAGCAGGGACAGGGGAGACTCTAGATGTGCATGTCTCAGGCTATAAACCGTATATCCAGATTGCTTCCACTTCGCAAATACGCCACACACAAAATTCCAATGACAACGTAGAAATCCGACGGGGCAATGTGAGAAAATGTCAAAAGGGTCTGAGGTGTGAAAAGTTTTGAAAGGCAGTTTCTTATGTGCTTTTGGTAGTTTTTTATGCCAAAATTGTCCAGCTAATACATGCCAATTTCCTTTATAGTGACACTTATGGCAGATAGCTTGACTTCAGGTATCTTTCTCTTTAGGAACACAATGAATTATTTCGTTGCCACCAAAATGCAGTGTGTCCACTGTATTATACCTGTGTTACAAGGCGGGGTGGATGATGGTCTGGTTGGTCCTTTAGTTTCTCCAGCTTCCCTTTTTTCCTTTTTAGGCTCAACCTTTACAGAGTCCACCTTCATCTTGTCCTTCAGATTCGACTCTTTCTCAGCAGAAGCTCTCTGATCATCCTCCTCTTTCAAGTCTTCCTCTTCAATTGGCCGTTTTTCCTCAGCCGACGCCGTTGCATCCCTAGATTTAGGAGGCTTTTCCTGTTTTACTGTGGATGTGGAGTCTTCAGAGTCAATGGTGTGTGTCGAGTCATTATCTGCATCCATCGGTTCTATACATTCAGACATTGCAGACGGCTCAGGAGAACGTTTATCAGAATCCTTCTCCAAATCCACAACTGGCTCCTCTGGAGCAGCTTTTTTCTCCTGATTGAGGGCATGAACAACAAATTAATCCAACATCATCATACGCTAGTCTGTTTTATCTCTAAGATTTTAATAAAAATGCTTTAAAAGTGTAAAGTAAATACAAAGAGAACAAAAACTCTTAAAGTTTCTGAGTTTTTTTTACCTGTATTCCATCCATTGGGATCACATCTCCATCCTCCTTAGAATCTGCAGACACTGGCCCGACTGACTCATTGTGAGGGGATGGTGAAGAACCTTTCTTCTCCTCATCCTCCATCTTCTGGGAATCAAGGGATTCTGTGGGGGGTGGCGACAGCTTAGACATTGCTTCCTCTATTGGGCTTGGACTGTCGGAGGAGCCCGGAGAGGGTGATAGATTTAGGGACAGGAATGGTGCTGGGGAGCTCAGAGACCCAGGAGTGGTGGGGGAAGCAGCCTGGGGGGAGCTCGGGTCGGAGGCGCTGTTATGCTCCTTGTCGCCCATCTTTTGCCCGTCTTCTTTGTGCGTGCCATTCACCAGCGGCGGTGGAGACGGGTTGGACAGGCCTGGAGCTGTGTTCAGTAAAGTGCTGTGAAGGCTTTCCAGTTGCAGACGATCACTGATCTTCATGGTTTTCTTGGCACGGAAGATTTTCTTCTTTTCCTCGGTCACAACGACTTCCATTGCTTCCTGTAAGGCAACAAAACCCGGATTAGAGTCAAGAGGCAAAAATCAATCCAGTCTAGGAGTGCAGTTTGTTCCGCCTGAGAGTCTGTGCTGATCTTTGCGCTCACATAACTGCATAGCCTGATCCAAGACACTAGAGGTCACTGTGGAGCTCTTCTACCTTTTTTCTTGGCTCTCTTCCAGAAGGTTCCTTCACAGATCTATTTATTCTGAGCTGATTGGTTCTCCAACAGTTCTGTGATTCAGATCCAGTACTGAAGTGAAATTTAACCATCTGATCCACAGTGTCACTCCTCTACAAACAGAAAAATCAGAAGCAGCATCTCAGTGATTAAGAACCTCCATTTGATTCTGTGAGAAATAATCTAAAATCCTCCTGTGATCCAGTCTTCCTAATTGTTAGTTTGGAGTGGATCATCAATTTCCTGTTTAGCTAAGCCTGGATCCAGAGAGCAGAAGAAAGGACACCGAGTTAAAGCAACAGACGAAGCCCCGGCTTCCTCCCATCCCCCCATTCAGCGATTGGCTGAAGCCTCAGCGAATCAGAGCAGACTAACAGGGGCCGTCCTTGCAGCAGCAAAGAGGTTATGCAAAACGTGGAGGGCTTTCCATACAGGGTTGAATTTTTGCTCTCCACACACGGTACGACTGAGGCTAGTGGCAGTATTTTCATAAATCTCTATTTCAGGAGCAAAAATAATTAAAATTATATTTTTTATTACTAAGATTTAATGTAAAAAATTATTGGTGCAAAAAAATGCTACATAATTCCCACTAATAATAATGATGATAACACAAATAAGCAGTGCACAGACTTTTAATCTGGGGCTCACCTTTAATCCAGAGGCTTCTTGGTCATGGATTTAATACCAGATCTGTCGACAACCTGAACAGGACAGACAGAGAAGATTTTTGAGTGACTTTTCTAACAAACACACATCAAGCGAATAAGACGTAAGCCTAAATTTAGCTCCACTGTATTGAATTGCTCCGTGTACACGCACACACACACACACACAGTCATACATCTGGGGCTGGAACTGGGATATCTACCATCCTTTTTTTCCCTCCAAATTAAAATACATGTTTTATGGAAAGGTTGTAAATGTTTAGAGGCAGCCTCCGCCATACTGGGAACTTGAAAGAAATCGCTTTTCAAGTCTTAATGTGCTTGAATAAAGTATTTAGAGCTTTTAACAAAGTAGCATAGATTAATATCTATCTTCAGAGCTAATTTTACGCTGACATGCATCAAATCCTTTTTTTCTTTCTTTTAATCACTAATGACAAACTGCCTAATTTGGCTTCAGCCCTTTCACGACAGATAATCCTAAAAAAAACTTTCAGTGTCAACAATCGAAGATCTGCAATCAATGGGAATAAACATCAAAGGGAAACGCTTTGTGTTGGTTTCAGAGTGGAAATAAGGTTTAAAAAGATGGATCTTATGAGATGAATGAGGTTTGCTTTTTCTGTGTTAAGCTGGCTAACTTTACTGTTTCTGCATTGCTGATCTGTAAGGCTGCAGCAGACTTGGTCATGTGACGCCGCTACAGTCTAACAATGTTTGATTTAGCCTTCTGCACCTTTGCAGGCAGCACTATGTATGTGGAAAAGTACAAGGACTAAGTGTATACTTTACACTGTAAAGCACCAGAGTAGGATGCTGGTGCACACGCTCAACACCCTATACCTTCTCTGCTCTGTTCTCCCACTGGAAGCATGCTCATTGCAATGATTATAAAGTCCCTACTTTAAAAATTAGGCTTCTTTTTTGTTGCTCTTAAGGCATTGATAATCATCTAAGCACAAAAAAAAGTCAGCATGAAAAAGTGGAGCGATGCAAATGGCAAGCATGGTCGATGTTCCACTTCAAATTCCAATCTTATTGCACACTGCGCAGAGCACCATGTCTCCCCTCCCCCATCCGGCCTCATCAACCGAGCCTGGATTGGGTGCAAAGACTCAAAATGGCGGCCAGCTCTGCAGCTCGTTGTCAGGCTGAGCTCTGTAGCTAGCTGTGTGAGGACTCTGTCAGACGGATTGGGTTTCGGCACTGCAAATGTTTAATAGAGATTCTTTGATAATCTTGAGTCAGCAGCAGGCAGAGACAGTTAAATCAAAAAGTATTGCTCCAAACATTTCATTTGGCTAACTTTATCAGCAGCAACACCTGCCATGTAGAATTGTGGCAAAATAAGTTATTGTAGGTCTATGTGTGCCAGCTACTGAACTAAATAAAACCATTAAATATTGTTTCAGCACAAGCATAGACTTCTTTTCCTTCATGTTTCACTGGCTATACAAATCCGATAACATCTGGATATATTACATAAAAAAAACTGTTTTAAACTTCTATTGATTAATAGCCTTAACATAGAAAAGATCAAACATGGATTACGTGAGAAGCAGAAAAAAGGGCCTGGATTTTATTGTCCTTCGTTAACAAAAAAAATCTTCATTATACTGCAACCTTGAAAAATGCTGAATATTAATTGAAAAGCCTCCCTCCACCCCAGAGTGTTTTACACAGACATATTTCCTTTTACAGAATGCTGCAGCATCTGGTATGTGTTATACAGTTGCAGAAGAAACTTAATGTACGAAAAATTCTAAGAAATAATAAACAGATGCAGTCTGTATGCAGACTTTTAAATCTGCTTACTATAACCAGAATTTGTTTGCAAATTTCCAATATGTGGCTGAAGAAAATTCCTATTTGTGGTTAGGAACTATATTATATGAAGATTTAGCTGGAGCATTCAATTATTCTTTGCAGAACACTAATTATCTACATCAAGTACAAAAGTGACCTCAATAATCCACCTAGCATCTTATGTTAGCGATTAGCAGTTAGCTGGCTAGCATTATTGACGTCAAAGTCTTTGTGTGACTTCTTTAAAGAATATAAAATACCTCAACTCAGATTTATAAAACTGACCATTTTGAATGTTTGCATTCCATCTTCCCGTTATCATCGACAAGTCTCAGCCGGAATAAACCACTGACACGTCTGGACATGGCCTAGTTTTTTGTTTTCTTTCACAACCATCCTTCTGAAGTTTGGAAAGTCCAATGCTGAGAGATGCATTGTACTTTGTTTACATAGGTAAATAATGCCGCTACAAGTGTCTGCATTCTGAAGCTAGTGAAGTTATGTCACGTTTCAAGTACATTGTCTGCATTGAAGTGTGTAAAAACTAATAAGGAAGACCAATTTTGATGAAAGGAGGTACTAATATTAAGAAGCAGCTGGTCGATGTTGATAGGATAAACAGCAACCTCAAACAATCGGTGAGCTTCCAATTAAGCAAAGAAGTCAAAACATCAAACTTGGTTAATGAACCATTGGTATTTGATTTTGCCATGTCCCAACTATTCCTAGGGGAATCCAGTGAGTCTGTTACAGTCGTCAAACAACAAGTACACATACATATGAAATATTCAACAGCATAAGAAACTGTCCAGTGGTTGGCAACTGTGGTTAAACCTTGCAGCAATAACCTACGGTACGCTGTATGTTTGCAAAGACTGGAATTTCCCACAGGCTGCAACTCTGGGTCCCTGAGCAAAACCCATTAACCCCACACTGCTCCCCGGGCGCCGCACAATGGCAGCCCACTGCTTCCCCAAGGGGATGGGTTAAATGGAGAGAGTTCATTTTGTAGCTCTGTACTTGTGACAGTGGAATGACAAACTACAGACGATATCTCAAACAGATCTGCTTTGAGTAAAAATTAGCTGCAGTTTGATACCTAGCTTAAATGCGATTCGTTGCTAACCCAACTTGTCGAACATGCAAAGTTCAAGCATTTATCAAAAAGGGAAACATGCTGATCAACATGGCAAACTGCCATTTTTTCATTATAATGCAGTTAATGGGATAGAAAAGTTAACACTTTATTATAAACCTTTCTTCCCCACCGCCATCAGACTGCTGAGCTGTTGAGAAAACTCTAAATCAAGTCACAGACTCTGCATCACACTGATGACACCGAACCAAAAATACTGCATATTTGCACCGTATATATTAATGCTCTGAACTTCTACATCAATGCGTTTTTTGCACAATGTTTCTTTTCTCCCAGACTGTTTACTTTTGATCACTGCTGCACTTTATGGAATGGAAATGTTCATTCCTGTCTGAAAGCTGTACCAAACGAAATTTCATTTTGTATACGCTCAGTGTAAAATGACAAAATAACAATAGAAGTTGTCCAAGTCTAAAAAAACACTGTTGTTCTTTGCTTATTTCATTCACAGTCACCTTCTAGAATAATAATGCACATAAAATGAATTTATACTTCAGTCCAATGGCTGTTCGCTACTTAAATCGTTTAGGTCCGCACACTGTAACCGCACAGGAACTGATGTCACAGATCTGTGAGGGTGAAGCGGATGATTGCATTGACATCTGCCGCCACAAAAACAACCAGTAGTAAAAACAACAACAACAACGCTACTAATAATCTTTCTACAAGCTGCCATGTGACGCACGACATACACACAATATCATATGCAACAGAAAGTAAGTAGTACGAAGGTTTGATTGCATCCAAATTAACATTTTCCAAAAAACAATGTTTCCTAAAAAAAGAAAAGAATACATCAAAATAAAGTAACTTGTTTGAACAATGTAGTTTCTTAAAAAAAAATAAAAACATTAAACACCATAATGTAAAACTTAAAGTTCAAAAAATGCAAACCTTTTTTATTTCTACTAGATAATATTTTAAATGTTGAGCTGCAATATGAACACTAAAAAAGAGAAGAGATAAGTTACAGTAAAGCATGCTTAAAAAAAAGAAATGGCAACCTTCTGCAGGATGTGTGGGAAAGGGCCCTCCATATTATTTGCTGATTGTGGGAGCAGGGAATAGCCGAGATGGCGGCACCAGAATATAAAAGAAAGGGGGAGGGGCTCAGCTGGGACCGGTCCATGTTGCTCCTAGCAGGGGTGGGTTCTAAATAAGGGTGTGTAGTCAAAGTGAGAGATTTCTGGGTGTTACCTAAGGTCTTTAAAAAAGGCAATGAAAGTTTCCTTCTTAGTGCTTTCTATGCCACACAGCGTTATATGTGATAGTAAAAGTTGTAGAATCATGTTTTTTTGATATAATCTTATATTTGTGCAGGTATCAAAAATAACTCACAGGCCGGATATTGTGTCACCTGCACTTAAACGTGCATAGTGGTGATTATAACTTCCAGCCATAGCTAGCAGAGCGCAGAGAGAGGGGAAGTGCACAGTCCGTTGCTAAGCAACACCCATCCCCCACCTCTAGCACAATCTAGTCCACAGTGTGGAAATGCCACCCACCCTGGACTGTACCACTCCGATAAAAAAAAGGTCAGGGGGAGAGGGTTGTCTGTCTTTTAAAAAAACTGAAAAGTCAACAGTAGTTTCATGAATAAAAAGGTCCAGAAGAACCCTGAAAAACCTCCCACTCTTTTTAATATGCTTGAGTGAATTTTACTGGACTGAAGGTGTTAAAAAAAAGCTGTATTCATTTTTTCCTTATGAGGAAAAAAAGTCCCTAGTCCAAATCGTCTGACATAATTACAGAGAGATCACCTGGACTATTATGTGCTATAACCTGAGCACACATTGCCACTGAGCGGAGTACTAATCATGTTAGCTTCAGCCTAGTTCTGTCACCCTACAGACTGTCTCTGTGGACTACTGTAATTTGATCTCAAAGGTCTCACAGATTACAGTTAAGGCCAAAAGGACAGGCTTTTAGAGGAGACAGAGCAATTCTACTTTACATCTGGTAGATCTATCCTTGTTCAGTCTAATATTTAAATCGTATATCTCTTACTGTTTGTACATTTTCCTAAAGACCTGATAGCTTAGCTGATGCTTTAAGAGATTTAAGTTATTTGAAG